CCTTACTGCCAGGAGTATGACCCCATCCCATCAAAGAGTAGAAATTTGTACCTTAGCGGTAACTGCTGTCTGTCTTACCAGTATGCTAAAGGTTTTTCCTTTTATGGTTGGAACCTCAAGGGAATAGGTGTTCTCACCAGCATAGCTCGTTGGATCATTATGATATTCAATCTGGGCCACCACTTCACGTCAACAACTATCGATTGGGATGCTCAGTGTTATCAAATAAGTGTGTACATCACTGTGTGACTAACATTTGAAATTCGATGTCAGATGAACCTGCTATCACTGAGATGAATATATAATCTATTTTTAATGGAGAAATTTTGTCTAGTGTAAGTTGCTTTGTTGCAGTCAAAGGAATGGTAGAAATAAATAATTGGAAACTCTTGGTTTTCTGATTCTTAGTCAGTTGAAATGGCGAGGATATATATACTTTTTGTCATCTGCGAATTTTCGATTACTTGTATATATCTTTATTTATTTCTCCTATCCGCATCCGATTTGTCTAGTTTTATATCACTTTGCATCCACTTTTGAAGACTTGCGGATTGTGGAGACTTGAACCGATGTGTTTCTCTGTTGGTTTCCATGTCATTTAGTCTGCCTTTCCTATTATTTTATGTTTATACTGACACCAATGCAAAACATTTTTAAAACGGGATTACTTTCTATATATTATGGTTTGTGAAACATACCACTGATCTGCAATTTAGTTTTTGAACCTTCATCTTTGCATATATTAGTAAGGCTATTTCATGGTTCTGCTTATCCAAAGCTATGTCTAACGCTGTGCAGCCTTCCTGTAAACAGAATGAAAGAAATGAACGTTCATTGCACTAGGTTACTTATATTTTTAGGTAATCTTCATTTTACCAATTACTTATCTTGTTTTATTGAAATCACTTACAATATTTTGAAACTGCACTAAACTGATGTTGATCACGGTTCATTCATTCTCTTCTGCATAGAAGATTGTAACTAGAAAAATCAAACGTTTTAAGATGAGAAGGCATTTACGAGGTAATTAGGTGTATTCTTTCACCTTCTTTAAATCTGTTCAAGATTTCTCTGTACAAAGGACAAATAAAGTCGCTGCTTTGTGAAATCTAGGATACGTTAAAGAAATCTCCCATTAAAAAATAGTCGACTATCATCTCATATTTTTTTTTACCGAAAACTTTATTTTGCAAATCCTAGTTTGATGATTTTCCCTATTCTATATATTATCCAGTTTGTGTTGAAGGCATGAGTTGAACATCTAGGTAGATAGTATCATAGAGCTTTTGTTCTTCATCACCAGAAAAAGTAAAGAATTAACGTAATCAACAGCTTGTGTACTTACGTTATCCTTTAAATCTAAGTTATATTATTTTGAGCCAAGAGAAGTTTGATGATATCTAAATGGTTGTGTTCTGCGGCGCTCATTAAAGCAGTGCTTCCTTCTGCGTCACGTTGATTTACTGTAGATTTCTTTGTTGTCAGAATTCGGGAGACGATTTTCTTACGCCCATGCATCGCAGCTAAAATTAACACAGTTTGTTCTCGTTCATTTTGAGATTTCAGATTTAGGTTGGCTCTCGAAACCATCAAGTCTAGTGTATCCATGTCATTTTTATTTATGGGCTATAGTGGAAACACAAATTTGGTCAGTCAGGTTAATTCAGTCGGAAAAACAGTTACTAAACATTACTAGAACTTTAACTATTGTATATATGAGTCGACATTCAGTAGAAGCATACTTACTGACCACTTTTATGTTCGACAAGATTAGATACCGGAAATGATCGATAGACCTCAATAAACATGACGAGTCTATCAGGTAAATTTGTCACCATTCGGTAACCAGATCATGTTATAAACCTGTTTAACATGGGTAAGTTGTACCTGTAGGTTGCGTGACGTGCATTTTAAATCACTAAGGTCTTATGAGTCTCAACATAGTTACAGATATACTGTAATTAAGTGAACAACACTTGGATTAGGAAATAGTTGAAGTCGAATTCGTCTTAGCAGCATTAACCATGTGTGGTGAAGTTCCTATGCAAGTTATCTTGAGGATAGGCCCAAGGTAGTAGAAAATAAATATAAGTCAGTCGGTCAGGTCGCAAATATTCACCGATACAGGTCACCTAGATGTCTGCCGCTTATGCTAGCTACTACCTACCTCAACGTATTGTGCCAGTCGAAGTAGGACTAGTTTGAAAGAGAAGTAAGAGTGGCTAGACCAGTATTTGTCACCGGTCGATGAAATCTTTATCTGTTAGTCTGACCTTTCTATGGAGATGCAGGTTCCTTGAGTAAGGTCTTCAAGATGATAGGAATACATCGTTGATGGGGTAGATGTGTACACTCTTTCATTGTTGAATTCTTGAGCATGTCTAGAGACGTTAATCTATTTATGCTGTCTCATGTCTGTGTCATGTAATGTTGTTCATTTTGATATCATTCGTTTTGTACTCACTTGTTTGGATTCCATTGTCAAATGATGTCAATTTGAAGTGATACGTTTTTATATCAGAGTACACGTTGATCTGTTTGTTAAGTGAAGTACAATTAGTTTTATACCCAAGGTTGAGAATATTAGTATCTATTTATCGACATACATATTAATTCCTGTGGAACTTCTGTTGGTATATGAACAAACTTACATAGATACTAATTTAGGCATATTATTTCATGGGATAACTTTGGTACACACTTCGTATATCAACAGTTTATTTTTTGTTCTGAGAAGTAAAACGATGTAGGTCAGTTATTGTTTCATAAAGAATCAAAGATACAAGAAGTAATATAGATTTATAGTATTTGTCTGACGTTTTCATTATAACACTAAAAAATTTGGGTGAATCTTTGAAATAATCTTGTGTATATTTCCTGAAATTTAGTTTTTGGTTTTCAGATTTGGGATTATTCATGCAGCTTTTGATAAGTAGAGATTGATCATGTGGGAATTATTATGATTAGCTAAGATATGCCATTTTAGGATTTGTCCTGATGCGAACTTGACAGACACAAAGTCCAATCACTAATTATTCGGACTTGTTATATACCCACGAATACGAGACCAAGGAAGAACACGATAGCGTAGTCGGATGGAATAGTATATTTGGATGGTTGTGCCAAAATACCGATGCGTTCCAACTAACTGGCTAGAGAGTCGAATACGAGCAGTGCAACGTAAGACGACAGCGTGCCAAATGGCGAGGATGCTTGACCGGGTGCCTTCAGCTTAGCGAGTCCAGCTAAACTATCAAGGTCAGCATCAATGTTGAAAGTCACCAAACCCTAGGCTATTGATTTTGGAGAAGTGTGTGACGCTACACCATATTTCTATGTTCTGTTATTTACATTATTTTATAGGTATTTTCGGAACCGTCTAATTAATCTTATGCCCATTATAGATGTATAGAGACTACTTAATTAAGCTTGATGGTTAGCTCCTTTTTTTAATGGTCGCCTATTTAAAGTGAATAGTTTAGAATTTGGATCACTGCTCAACTTTTGAAAACATAAGTTGTACCGTTCTTCAACATACCTCACTCGGCAACACTGCGGCAAGCATTAAAGGAGTGTATCCAGTATGATTGAACATATTCACGTCAACTTTGGGGCAGTTGGTCAGTATGGTAGCCACAATGGGCCAACTCGCTTGACTGACGGCATAATGCAAAACTGTGTTACCCTATTCGAAAGCGCGAAAGATAAAAAAATTTTCTGTGAAAGCTCACAATGTAATAATGAGGAACAAGTTTACTTGCGTGGAGAAGCATATATTAATTTTGGAGTGATTAAAAAATCATTCGCAATATTTCTACTATGGAAGTAATAGACTTACATGACCATCAGCCGTATTGACTACCTGATCTGCAAAGCATACTGAGATCTGTTTAAGAGAATTTATGCAAAGTTCTACCAGCTTTGGATTGACATTTTTCGTTAAAGCCAGTTGAAACCATAGTTGTTCGATAATTTCCTGTGACTTATTCTGTAGAAAAGAACAATGTCTAAGCTTTCTGAATATAATCATGTCTTACTTTCATAGGCAAGTAATAAATTTAGAAATTGTTGTTGAAAATATAACAACTTTCTTCATTATAGGGTTCACAATCACATTGAACTGGTGTGCCTCTTACCAAAACGTGAATTCATGGAACAGATGTTAAAAACTGTTTTCATATGAGTTCTTGTCGTTTCCATATTTCGTAGTTAGTTGTATTACTTTTTTTTTTATCTCACCAGGTTATCATTAATTTACGACCTGCCTACCTTCGAAATCAAGTTGAAAGCCAAAATCAAAGAAGCTGGTGATAGATGGCCACAGTTCAATCAAGTTGAACAACCACCCAGAACACAAACTGAACTGAAAGACGAAACTACAAAGGACATCTTCACGTCAGTCAGCCATAATGACAAAATGAGAAATATCGAACAACTTCCCTAGAGGAACCTGTGTGGATGAATACTGGAACTATGTGAAAGAGATGTGGAAAGAAACCTGCATAACAGCGTTAGGAAGGAAGAAGACGTGAGACAAGGAATGGATCTCGACGGACACATGGAATCTGATAGAGGAGGGAGAGGAAGATGGTGATGGTGAAGCAGAAGATGAACCAGTGCAGTTCAGGGGTGAACAACGAGAAGAGCACCAGAGTACAACGTATAAAACACTGGACAAAGAAGTGAAGAAGAGTGCACGGAAAGACAAAGACACTTCTACTACACATTGGCAAATGAAGCAGGACAGGCTCGAGGTAGAAGAGACAGAGACTTGACAACACTATATCAAGTAACCAGGTTACTATCTGGCAGGGAAGAGATCAACACATATGAAACTAGTGAGAGATAGTGAACGAAACCTAGTTACCAAGAAGAGAGGAGAAACAAAGGAAACGATGGGCTGACCACTTCAAAAAACTCTTGAATCGATCACCACAACCACCACCTGCAACTCGTCCAGAAATACAACCAGCAGTCCAGCCACAGAACTACAAGTGAACACAAGCCCTCCGACGATAGCATAAGTCAAGTCCTGAACGGCATAAAGATGGTAAAATCCGGGAAAGCAGCAGGACCAAATGGAATTCCTCCGGAAGCACTGAAAATAGATGCAGAGACAACAGCCGACATGCTCACACCTCTGTTGCAGAAGGTTTGGAAGGAAGGAAAGATACCTGCCAGTTGATGATAAGAAGGGGTACCTAAATCTTTGCAAGAACCGGCGAGGAATCATGCTCCTATCCACCCTAAAAAAATATTAGCTGCATCATTCTGGAGAGACTAAAGGATGAGCTGGATTCAAAATTACCACTGAAACAGGCTGGCTGGCTGGCTGGCTGGCTTCAGGAAGAACAAGTCATGTGAGAACCAAATTGCAACACTACGATACGCATCATCATAAAACAGAGCAAAGAATGGCAGTCAACCACATCTTCACCTCAACTTCATCGACTCTGAAAAGGCCGGCCTTCGACAGCGTAGACCGAGAAGTAATTTGTCAGGCAGTTGCTTCAACACTACGATTTTAGTGCCACAAATCTGTATCGACCTCATTCCACAACAGCTATATGAAGACGCCACATGCCAAGTAATTCACAATGGAAAGCTCAATGACGTCATTGAAGTGAGGACAGGAGCAAGACAAGGCTGTCTCCTATAACCGATGATTTTCTTGATTGTGGTCGACTCGACTGGACTGGATCATGCAACAAAGTGTGAGCAGTGAGAAGATGGGCATACGCTGGCTGGACCGATGAGAAGATCCGAGAAGAAGATTTAGATTTCCCCTTGATGATTTATGTCTAATGTCACACAAACAGGCGGAAACTTACAAGTTGACAGAAGAGTCAGGGCAGCGAAGACGGGACTTCCTTCAGGTAAACGTAGAGAAGATGGAGGTGACGAAGATACCCAACAAACAGCACCACCACCACCACCACCAACAGCAACAACAATAAGCTCCCATCATCATCAACGGGAGAAGTCTAGAGGAGGTTGTCTCTTTCACCTACCACCTAGGCAGCATCATTTCAACTACAGGCGGTGGCACAGGCACAGATGAGGACGTCAAAGCCAACCAGGATCGGAAAAACACTAAGACAGGCCTTCATTAACCTGAAATCAGTGTGGAGACCTACTGCACTGCACTGCACTGCACTCAGCATCAAGTGTGAACATGATCCGGATTTCGAACACTAATGTCAGTTAAGTCAGTGCTTCCATGTGGTGGTTCACAGACTTGGCGCGTCATGAAAAGCACTTCGAACAAACTATAGACATTCATCAACAACTGCCTACGCTGGCTCGTTACTGAAGTTCAGATGGCCAGAATAATGAGAATAAGCAACAAGGAACTCCGGTTGGTGACGAACCAACCAAGAACCTATCTATCACTCAACAAGTATGCAGAAGAAAGTGGAGGTGGATTGGGTTGGGCATGCAGTGAGTAGGCGGATTGGGGACATCACGCGCCAGGCCATGTCAGGCCGTTGAGTGGAATCCTGAGGGGAAACGACGAGTTGGGCGTCTGGGGCGAAGATGACTTGAGGAGATGGTGTGAGGAAGAAATGAAAGCTTGTGGGCAGTGGTGGAGCCAGGTCCAAAAGATTGCTACTGTAGTCGTATGTTCCACTAGGAACCCAAGGGACAAATAATAATAATAATACTACTAAAAATGCTGAAGTATTTTGTAGCATATGGATTGTCACCTTTATGAATAAATCCACATCATAATTTCAAAGGTTGGGGATGAATTGTGTCTTGTTTTCAAATATTCGCAGTTATTTTTTTCTCAAGTCTCTTGTCATATGTACTCTTTGGTGTAGCCAAGTTTATATGCAAAATCTCTTGAAAATACTATTGCTTACTTGTTTTCTTGCATAATGCAACTCAATGTCGTACAGGTTTATGTACTGGGCTTTATGGCACACAATCTGCGAAGTTTTAGGATGCTATTCTGTAGGTGGAGTGCGATCTGAATGCGCGACCGATTACTTGAAAGTCATGTATTAGAGCGAATTAGGTACATATCCGCACTGTTTTGTGTAGATACTTTTATTTGCGAAATGGAAGCTAAGATTCATAAATTTCAGTACCAATTAGCTAAAACTGACGTAGTCTCGTTTTTCAACTAAATTGCTTTTCAAAGTATCTGTTATTCACCAGTTTTTCAAGGGTTTAGAAAACGTTTCGTAATATCACCAACAAGTGTAGTGCACCATTTGGGAACGACATATTCCTGAATGTTTTGGAAACTCCTGTTTATTTACCTCATGGTTTCAAACTTAGGAAATATATGCTATATTGATATATAATTATGTATGTATTTGATGTGTTTTTTATTTAAATTTTTCACAGGTGTACTAATATAGTACATGGTCTTACGTTTCTTAAAATCCTCCAGGATTAATTCACTGTTTGCAGGGTATCTGATCGACCCAGAGTTTATAGACAGCAGTCTTGTTAGGCGAAGGTACCAACAGATTTCCTCTGTATCCTGAACGTCTTTAGCGAAAATTTGAGCATTTTTAGCTTGCGTTTAGCTCGTGTTAACCGTAATATAAAACCTTGGAATGTATCTGCAACAACTTTGAATTTGAGAATAGGGAACAGAGTTGTGCAGTACGCATTTCGCCTTGCATAATTGGATAACGAGATTTCAATTCAAATGCGAAAGGACCTGCTGACATTTACCAACCCACATCATGTACAGTATCAACGAGATATCCGACTACATTTAGGAGAACGAGTATATCGCAAGGAAGTCCTGTCTCTCCTATTTGTTGGCTGTAAAATCATCAACGGAAGGATAAGACACAAGGAGAATACGTGCTTTGATGATAGGTGTCTTTGTAGCATTGTTCGCACTTAGTGGAACCTCAGATTGAGCAGTGTTGAAATTGGGTATAGAGTATTAGTCAAGAAAAGTAGTTAGTAAATATAGTTGTGACACTGCCCCAACAGAAATCCCTTGGATATGTCTAGCATATTTCTTACCGCCATCTATTTAAATGCTTCATGTTAACCTAAGTAAGATTATGTTCAAAGAAAGGTAAGCGTGGTCATACTGGGACATGGCAGCTACCTGACTGAGGTTCCCAAAGATGGTAAGAATCAGTGATCGAAAAGTGATGACTCGAAATCTATCACTCCTTGTCACTGTTAAAAGTTTAAACGTGTACACTAGTTCTCATTTATTTATTCCATCTCTTTTCTTATAAATTTACATCCATGTTACACATCTTTTATTTACTAATTTTCATGTTCTCATGACGTGTCGCAGCCTAAACTAGTGTGCAAGGTTATGTGTTGATAAGTCTGTCTGTATTACCCTATGTAATTTTTGTATATATATATTTTTTCTTATCTGCATTAATGATAAAATCTAATCCTACTGGGTAAAATATTAGATTTTTGATGCTCACTTAGCTGTATCACCATCAAGTAGTAATAATGAATGTGACTACTTTTTCCACTACGTTAGATTATTTCAGGTCTTTCTTGTTTCAATAAATTAAACACAATCGTTTAATTGGATAATTACTCGTTCAACTAAGTTTTTATGACTAGTAGACCCTGTCTCTTCACTGCCTTAATTCTGTTAGAAACAAATTCTCTCCATCAGTAAATTGTCCCCTAAATATCACTTTTTTTACAGTAACACTCAAGTCTTCGGTAATTATTTTTCAACCTAGGTATAATACTCTCAGCCATTATAAAACACTTGGAGAAGATGCATAAAAATATCTCTAATTTGGTCATTTAAACATTCCTCTTCATACGGAAGATTAGTATTTTACATAAACTCATTAGTTCGTGGCAAATATATTCCAACACCTAAAATAAAAATTTAGTGAACTTACCGTGCAGTTAGATAAGATTTGTGAAGATTCTATATTGGAAACCAAGGATATTTCACATGGGTTCATGTTTCGGTCCGATGAAGATCTTGAAGCTTTCATTCTGAAACATGAGTTTTGTCTTTATTTTCTTTGAAATGTAACACTTTCAACTTACTAAACATATACTTCCCCGCATATTTTTGAGTCTCTTACTGACCTTCTATCCGTATATCTGTATGCTAGTGTCAGTCAAAATGAACATACATCTTTATATGATATGATTAAGTAACAGAATTAAAATTTAAGTTCTCTGGTTTAGAGGATTTTTAAGACAGATCGCCGTCCGCATTTAATTAGTCTATATCCACCTTTCATTGGTTTTCATTCATAGGCAATTCAACACTACATTTTGTCTTATGTGATCCCGATTATGTGCATATATTCACTGAGTGCAGATGAGGGGAGACCCTTGAGGGAACATAGTTAAACACTACTTTCGAAAATCTGGAGTCAATACATAAACCTCAAAAATTACTAACTAATCTACACTTTCTATGATATAGGTGAAGTGTTCAAATATCTACTGAGGGAACACCTTAGTACATAAATGTTTGCTTTACATTGCTCTATGATTGTCAGAAACCATCTTTCAAGTTTTCAGAAATAGGACAACTTCAGTTATTCTGTTACGAACATACTTAAATTATTTCTAGTCTTCAGGAAAAGTATCGATTAGGTGTACAAGTTTTTTAACGAAAACAAGTTATTCATTGGTATTGTGAACTTGCGGAATCTGAAGTGGCTGAACTATGTATTAAGTACGTGAAACGAGTCACTGCGATATGCTATGCTTTTCGATCTAGGATTAAGTTAGAAAGGTCTCAGAGGTGCTTAGATCTAGATGTAGCGTGAACAAAGGGTTTGATCAGTCGTTTTCCTGAGTGATATTAAGTAGAAAAACATCTTAAAGCCAGAGGGTTGTCATCCTTCGTGCGAGCTACAATTTTCCATTATCTCTCAGTCTCTTTTCCTGCCTACCGTTATGCATTAACGTGTATTATAACTTACCCGCTTATCTTTTGATTTTCCTCCACTTTAATCTGTAGTTTAGAGCTTCCCACTTGAGTCATTTCATCAAGATTCTGAGGGGAAGAGAATCTATCTTTCATGAATCTTTTAAGGACGTCCACTTGCTGCTGTTTTCCACCTTGCACACTTTCAACTTTTCCAGTTGGTACACTCAACTGGATATCACGTGTTTGATTGTGGATCAATTTTATATTAGGTTTTTGATTTATTACCACGAATTTAGTGTTTGAGAATGCTTTTCGTTTAGGTGATAAGGGATTTATCGAGATACGAATAAATTTGACTGCATTTTCTAACTCTTGTTTTCTGTATTCGAAGTTTATTTGTGTCGGCATTTTATTTTGCAAAGTTTTCTTATGCTTTCTTCGTTTTCATTTGTATTTCCTAAAATCTGTTAAATAACCGAGTAGATGGAAAATATGTAAATGTTCTGGAACTGGATGAAGGAAGGGACCATGTGATGATAAACTAAATTCAGTACACAAACATGTTGCATTTGATTTAGTTAACTTTTTTACCTCATCTTATTCAATTTTTTGAACAAAGTCTTTGGCTGCCAGTTTATTGTTTTGACCTTTAGTTATTATTTGTTCGATTTTCCTGGGTAAGATTTAGAAAATAAAACTTTGTTGCGATAGCAGAGAATATTTCCTTCATGTTGGATTGTGATAATTTAAAACTCATTACATGGTTAGTAAATTGATGACATTGTTTCAATCATAAAGTTTTACCGATAGAGCAATATAATTTGGGGAAACCTCATTCTCTGGTCTTTATAGATCATATCATAGTTTTTGAAGCATAATTATTCAAATTACTTTTATCAAGTAGAAGCCGATCAAAAATACAACGGTAAATTTACTAGTGACCATGTGTAGAATGTGCTTGGACATCTGTGTTGATATTCAAGCAACAACTAGAGATGCTGATCTCTTGATACGCCAAAGACCTTGGATTAGTCGAAGCCCGATAAACACATCAAGGTGTAACTACGCTGAAACAGCAGTGAAACTTGAGAGTGGTACTCAACCCAGATAAGCAAATCTTACACTAGGAAATCCTTGGTTTGATTTTCGTTCTTTTAGTGGACATATCAGGACGACGATCATCCGAGGAATCATTGGTTTGTGTTCTTTTATAATTTAACTTACTACATAAATGCGTTTAAAATGCCAATCTGTTTTCATTCTAAGCTTGTGTAACTTTTGCTGCCTGTCATTTTTAGTTGCATGTACACTTTTGACTTTGTACTTCAGTTACGCATATTTATTCCAAGTTTTGCAAGCTTAATTATCTCATCACTCACATAAACAAACTGAGCTCCGATGCACAGTTCCATGTTTCCATATACCTGTCATCTCTTTAAAATCCCTGGTTAAACCCAATAATATCTCAAGGAACTTCTCTTTAAAGCAAATTTTCTTCAAACACTAAAATAAACCCATTTGATAAGGTAAAGGGGCATGATTGATGTCCTTCAAAATTCTGTACAAATTCTGACTAAGCCACTCGAAAGGCATATCTGAATCATTCGCAATGGAAAAGTTCAAGCCATAATTGTGTATTAAAACAAAGTATATACGTTTCTCTGGGATGGCCATTTTAGAGGATCTGTCATCCAGATAGTCTCTTACGATGTAGTTATTATTTTATTTTGCAATCATTTGTTTATTTCCTTATGCCATATATATATACTAACTTGCCATTTTCATGGGATTTATTTTGACCTGTGACCAGAAATTACTATGGAATGTTCTGTCGTTTCTACTATATTTTTACGAACGTGTAGTTAAAAAATGATTTCATCGAAAACAAAAAATTCTCTTCGCTGTATATTATTTCAGTAGAAAGAGCTTTTAAAATAATGCTTTCTGTTAAAAAAGAGACACTATTTCAGACTTTGCAGCATACAGCTGTATTCCTAAGTATTTTACTTTCAAATCATCAGCTAACTTTACTTAAAATGTATCTCCAAAGATATCTAATATAGAGAGGACTTTGCCCTTAAATGGAATGCTAAAAATTTTCGTATCATTCAGAAAGTTTTATATTTGAAAGGTGTAATTTGGAAAAAACAAAAATTTGGGTCTAAGACTTTGTAATGTTCGTCTGTAGATGCTAGTTACAATATTCACAACCTTTATTCATCTAGATCAGTGACTAGAGTTTATTTCCCAACAAATAGGATATGATCAATCTTTTTTCGAAGGTCACAGTATAGAAAAATGTTCCTCAGTTTGTATTATTGCCTATTGGTTATACGGTGATATTTTATGCTATTCTTCGTTAAAAATCTCTCCATACTTCTTGGAAAGGAATTTAGAAATACTTTTGTGAATGTCAGAGCAATGTTAACTGTCTTCTTGAGTGTCTAACTTATAGCATGTTTTGATTACCATAGGAATGTCTGCAAGTTTATTCGACTGCCACTTTTTTCGAATTTACGAGCCAGTAGTTAATTTTTACCTGAATGTACTTCACCTGTACTTAAAAAACCCTTTTTTATGTACCTATCTACTTTTATGTTACTCTATGAAAACATTCTTTCTAGAATGCAAGACTTTATTTGGAATATATTTAAAAAATATCGAATACAAGTATTCAGAGGAATAATGAAGTACTCTGGTCCGTTTGGGTGCTTACAAATATATTTGACATCCAGTAATAAGTGACTCAGCCTAAAACCTTTCAACTCAAAGGTTCACTGAAAAATCATTTCTCGTCAGTAACTGATGAACACTATAAAATGCTCACTTCTCATGGGTAATTGATAGATAGGTTAAATCTACAGCTTTATATCTACAAGTAAGGTTATATTAGTTGCCAATTAACCTGAAAGTTAACCTCGTCTGGCTCTCCGTTTTATGTAGGTCAAAATATAATAATTTCACCTTCATCACATTTTACAAATATAAGCAACGTCTTTTTTTCTTTATTTTCCTTGATTCTGGTTCCCAGATATTCGGTTATATAATCATTTAAGTGTGCTAGCTAATCAATCTTCTAATTTCGTTCATATGGGCTACGTTGTGGCTACTGGTCGGCCACAGTCAGTCTGTTGAATCGACTAGTGAGTTAAGTATTGATTTCGACCACCTAGTTAGGTATACGTTGAACTCTAAATCTCAATGAATCAAATCAGAATGCACCCAGCAACCAATTTTATGTTCATACACTAAGCAATGGATCACACATACTGTATTTGGATTAATGATGTCACCTGGCAGCTGAAATCTCGGTAGGTTGGGCGGGATCGAACTCATAACCTGCTGGCTACAAATCATCTGTTTAAACCAATGAGTCACAGTTCATAATCTCATCTCAGTACGGCAATATTCACCTACAGATATAAGCTGCATGTAATAATAATCAGTATTAATGTGGAACCTGGCATTGCTGCAAAGCAGTCTAAACTACCACACCTCACGCGAAGTATAAGAAGTGGGACTGAAGTCTTAAAGTTCATTCATTCACTTTTGGAGGTAGGTTGGAGCTTTATTTCTTCATAGGTGCTACGAATAAGAAACATTCCTTGATTCTAGTGAATGATAATAATAAAGTAAGAATTAGAGACTAATTAAGAGGTCGGTTAAGGAAGTAAAATCAACTTTTAGGCAACAGAAAAGAAAAAAGCAATGCTGATTTTTTTAATCGGTCAATCATTCTAAAAGGAACCTCATGTAGATCCACCATGTATCACAAAACCAAATTCTGAGTGCAGCAGAGTTGGGATGGAAGGAAGTAGACAATGAGTTGAGAATCTTTATAACTAGAATGATGGTGAATTGGAGCAATTTAGTATTCAGTCAAGAGGAAACAAAACACTCTATGATAAAGATTTTCAGTTGATGAAGACGATTCGGTGACTAAATATGAAGCCATATAATATGTAGGAAATATAACTTGGTAATAGAATTCTGTACCTACTCCACACATTTCAAAGTTCAGTAAAGTAAGCTGTCTGAACTTGATATTTCAGCGCACTATTAAGTGTAAACATGCTCGGTGTGTTAGAAATTCATGTCAGCAGAGAAAGCATTGCAACATTCCCGACAGATCTATCAGCTTTAAATGAATATGTCACTAGATAAAATGGCCGATAATAATGTAATAGTAGAACTTGAGCACTGTGATAAAGTCAAATATAATATTTGATCAGTTTATTTAACCTGGCATACAGAGATCCAACAAACAATACTGTTTCACTAGGTGCTTTATCACATAAACTAATCCAAAATGAAATCAAGATAGGTCGTAGTTGACACTAACAGCAATGCCTTTCTTCTTTCCAGCCATTTACATACATATTCAGTATATCTAAATTAGCCTGTCAACATCTGATATTTTAGTCTATCATAATTTTAATAGTAAGAAAAGGAAGCTCTGTTATGGGAACATCGAAATTAGTATTTGGAGTGTAAACATTCCTGAAAGAAATAGGTCAGTGTGTTTAGTGTGAGCTGAATGATTCTAGAGACAAGCTTTTTTCAAAATTCAGAATTTCGTTGAAAGAACAATCTCAGACGCTTAATCCAATCTCGAGAATAAATTGACTTTATGTGAATCACAACCTCCTTTCTCACCCTAAATTACCGCATTATGGTATTGCCTTCAGCTTATGATATGTAATTAAATTGGTAAAACTAGACGAAATCCTGCCTTTATTTTTCAGTTATTTATCAGTGTGACTTTGCCTGTCCTATTAAAGTGAAATGTATGAAATTTAGATACTCAAGTCATAAACCACGTGAATACCTCAAATACTGAGGAGCTGTTGTAAAACCTTCATGGGATTATATGTTAAAAATAATTCAGCGTTTGTATGCTCGGGTTATCTGAACATAACTGTTTCGTATCGAACATTAGCTATCCAAGAATAAGCCTTCATGGGTTGATACGAGTTTGCACTATACTCCAAAAAGGAGGAGAATAATATGAGATAAGTAGGAGTCTGACAGTAGTAATGGATCTCTATCAGGAATATATGAATCTTGATATCAGTGAAGTATAGTAGTCCAGATAAACAACTGTATACTCTTCCATGCACCACACTATGAGTCACATCTCTCTGAAAACTAAAAATTTTATTTGGCTGCCCAAAATCTGAACTTCAAAGCAGGTTTCCAATCAATGATGGACTGCTTGCTCAGTAATCACCAAGGTAACAATAACATTCAGCACGAAAAAGTTTTATGCCTTTGGTTGGAACTGATGTCATTTGTATACCCTCATGATCGTTGAACCATGTTTATTTATGCTACATACTAATGAGCTACTGTTTAATTGGAATTGTCTTACCAAGAATTGCCTCTACTACGAATGGAGTAACTTGGAC